GGTTCGTGAGAGAAAGAGAGAGATGAACAAATTTACACATCACAAAGGGAATGTTTTTGGAGAAAAATGAGTAGGATAATAGTGGGTGTGCTCAGGCGTATTCTGCGTGCAGACGTGAGTACATTTTTAAGCTTTGCGACCTAAAATAAATAGGCCCATAAGCTCCATTTATTAATGACGCTCGTAAACGCTGGAAATTTACTCACTTTTGCATGAGAAAACACACCTGAGCACGCACCCAGTCTTGATAGTATGATAGTGCGCAAGACGCAAGATCAACTCACATTCAGTGACAATAACAATAACATGAAAAGAAAGGAAAAAGAAGACAGCTTTTGAAAAAGGTAGATGAAAAGCAAAGCAAAATTGACAGAATGTCGGGTTGTAAACCAAGCACAGACGAATTAAAGTTTATTTGCAAGCGCATAGTACTACATATACGCCTGTCCAACTCTGGCATTGACCAGATGACAATGACATGTGGTTACTTGAGGGAGGCATTGCGCTGCCAAGAGCGAAATGCTTGCAGCTAAAGGGATTTAAAAACAACACCTGTCCACATTAATAATAAAACATTAGTATAACTGGACTACTTTTGCGCGCAGGTGTTGTGTAACTATAGAGTGGTAAAAAATTCGTGGCGCAACTTTTCCTCAAATATCTCTTTAACGGGAGAATCAATGACACCCATACTTTGAACAGCAGTTTGTATTTAAAAAATGTCTTAACTGAATCATATTTCTCCACAACAATTGAGGCTCGATCAAAAAATATTTCTTCATAAATTTATATAAAATACTAGGCCTATAAATCTCCACCACGCGAAAAATGTGATTGTTCATAGCACTTCCCACTTCTCGCACACATTTTGCATGCATATGGCCTACGTCATAGCTCACCAATGACACTTTTTAGTGGCAAAACTTCATACAAAAATGTTTATATAATGAACACATTCTTTTTACTCTAAAGGTTTCCTAAACATATGTTCAATAAGCATGCATGCTATTGCGATTGGAAAAAAAATGACAGACTTGCTTTTAAAAGTGATATTGCCGGAGCTGTAACATTTTAAGATTTGTAGAAACAATCGAATGTGATTTTTTATTAGTATTTATTAAGGAATTTTCTAGAATACAGTGTGCAGAAGTTTGAAAAAATATTCACCTGTTAAGACACATTGATATTTAAGTCACTGTGCAAAAGTTGGAGAATCTATGTTCTATCTATAGGTAAGGAGATATTTCACAATAAGTTGCGCCGTGCATTTTGACTGCACTATAGGCATAAGTTGGTATACTATAAATTTAATTTGTACTCTTAACTCATATTCCACGAAAGGCGTTACATGATTAATGATCTTTTCTCAATCTAACAGCATGATTATACCCTGCCGACCCCATCGTTCGCCCCCACATTCCCTTCGCCAACTCTTTCCACCTCTCTCTCTCTCTCTCTCTCTCTCCCCCTCTCCCTCTCTCTCTCTCTCTCTCTCTCTCTCTCTCTCTCTCCCTCCCTCCCTCTCTTTGATTTCTTTTATTGACACATACAACAACGTGGGTGCAGATGTGAACAAATTTCAAATTTTTGGTTCATCCATGGCCACTGGATACCTCAAAATCGTATTCAGATATTTTAAACATTCTCCTAGCAATAACTCCTTACGTCAGAAGCTTCGTTAAACTGGCCGTTTTCCTCCAGTATTTTTGCAAAGTCCAGATGCATGCACATCTGCGTACAGTCTCGTAACACCAAGCCTTAGCGCAGGTAGGACGTACGGTCCCCTAGTGCCAAACACTATGGGGGGCGTACGGTCCCCTAGCGCTAAGCACTACTGGGGCGTACGGTCCCCTAACAATAGCCATATAAATAAATGATTCTGAGTACTTTGACTTTGAGTTTGAGAGGCATGAAATAATGTTCACTCACTAACTCAAACTGGCGAGCTGACACACTCAAATCAATAATAATAGTTTTGTAGTCTTTGCGTAGATCTAGACTACATAGAAGTCACTTATGTTGAGTCAACAAGTGTTATTGACAATATTGGATTGACTTTGTTGACTGGAGTCTTGAGGCTTCATCAGTTTAGTTTAGTTTGGAACACAAAAAGAATTGTCTGTTCACTGTTCAGATTAGATTCTACTTTGACTATTTCTTACAAAATAAAACTTGCATCAAAAACAACTTACATCAACACTTGATGCTTCGTTCACGGGCAGCAGGAAGTGACAAAAGATAATTAGTATGCATTAGTTAAACTGGTCTTACCGATGCACGTACACACAATTCTTGCTCATCACAGAGAAAAATATCGATTGTTTATTGTAGGGGAGATCATTCCCGTTTCGTTTTTGTTGTTACACCGGTTAGAGTTCTTTTTCGTCTTCAGCCTCTATATTATGGTACAATAATTACACGCGCGACATGGACCTCTTCTAGCATGATTTAACTCCGTCTGTCCGTCTGTCTGTAGGTCTGTCTGTAGGTCTGTCTGTCTGTCTGTCTGTCAGTCTGTCTGTCTGTCCCTCTCCCTAGCTCTCCCTCTCTCTCTCTCTCTCTCTCTCTCTCTCTCTCTCT